AATTCTTCCGGGACCATTCAGGCCGCCGCATCGATGCTAAGAACTCTCTTTTGAGGTTCTGGTACAAGCCGAATGTGGTGAACATGGTCGGTTATAGGAAAAGGATTTTGGGGGACTGGCCGATCTATAGGCTGCCTGAGACACAAGAGTATGTTGAGAAGGAGTGGAGAGTTTACAAAAAATGAAGGTGTGTGATCCATTAAAAAAGTGATCGCAGCCAGGTTCGAACTGGCGACCTACTGCGTGTAAAGCAGACGTGATAACCACTACACCATGCGACCATTTCATTCTCTCCTTTCAATTCTTCCTGCCTCGCTCATTGGTGTTGTGTTCTATTTTCAACTTTCTCAATTTCAACTTCATTTCTATCCCTCTTGCTTTGAAGTCAACCTCACCGCATGCAAGAAAGAGAGAACCTATTCGCTCACTTGTTTTGTATGTATTCCTGAAGCCTGTTCGAGTGAATGGGTTTGATGCGAAACGCGATGAGTTAGAACCAGTTGGACGATTAGAAGGGAGGGAGGTTTGTGGGCCAATTAGTATTCAGGACACAAACCTCCTAGCCAATCAGAAGAAAAGAAAAACGAAAAAAAAAAAAAAAAAAGAATTTGGAAAAAAAAGAAAACGGAAAAAGGAATTTGACCTGATCAGACTTCATCCCATCTTTTCAGTCAGCATACACACCACTCCACACACCATCAGCATGCACACTCCACCACTCCACCCACCAGTATATATAAAGAGACGTCTCCCTGCAGCGTTCACATGAAAGCTCTCCCTGCTCGCCTTTGGATCCACTTGCTTGCTTATTCACGCTCATTATCAACCGAAACAATGCGCAAGAGAGGCAGTTTCATCTCCCCTCTTCTATCCAACAAGAACAAAAGCGATAGTCCCCAAACGACCATCAGCAATCATTCTACTCTTCCGACTCTTGGGATAGCTCGCCGTTCTGTCAGCAAACTTCCAGTGGCTGGCTTGCATGCAAAGGCAGTTGGCACTGCCAATCACCAAGGATCGTCATCATCCGCCTCCACACCAACTCAAGCAGACTCCGATCCGATACGCAGTGAAGAGCAAGCCGTTACAGACGTTCAGCATCAACCACTCGGTGGTGTTAGAGATCAGCAAGCATCCTCATTCAACTCCACACTGACTCTGGTAAAGGACCAACCCACCGCCGTCATCACCCAGCTGCAGCCATCCAGCGCCTTCAGCAGCGTTGCGCCGATTGCTGTCGTTACAGGCAACAACCTGATCCCTGCTGGTGACGGTGCGGCGTTTCTCCAGCTGCTCAGGCAGCCCGACACATTCCTTGCTGCCATTGGTAAGTGCAACTGAGCACCCTATTGACCTCTCCTGTACTCACGTACAAACACTCACCTGCAGATGATACCTCGTCGCTGGAGGCGATATGCAGCAAGTTCAAGGAGGTGACGACGGCCGGTGTGATTGTTGTGAGGGACCTGCTGACGAGCGCTGTCGAATCTGTGGAGGGGTTCGGGCTCTGCCTCTTGTATGCATATCTGTGAGTGTCGAGTTTTCGGCTTTTTTTTCCTTTTTTGGCTATTGGGTGGCTAACGGTCAATATCCATCAATCCATCCATACATCTCTACTTCCATAGCCACCACCACCCCGATCAAGTCGAAGTTTTGATGAAAGACGACGAGGCGCTCAAAAGAGTGTGGAAGGTGCTTGGTGGAAAGGAGCAGCTGGGTGTGAATGTGTCAGCATCAGCCTTGCGCCTGGTGAAAGAGGGTTGGCAAGGGTGGTCCGTTTTGAAAGAGTTGCGGTGGATTGTCAACCAGATTGCCGAAATGGGCGTAGAGCCGCAAACCAACAGGGTGAGGAAGCTTGCCGCATTGATTTTCAGCTGGTCAACAGAATTCCTCGACATGGCAAAGAGAAAGTGGGTTATTGAAGTTGGCGGTAGGCATATGGGGTTGGAGGTTTTGGCGGGGATCTGGGGTTGTGGGTACCAGGGTGTCGGGGTCACTGGTGGGCGGAAAAGAGCGGAGGCTGCGGGGATCACGCCGCAGTGGATCACCGAGTATGGCTCCAGTGCGGAATCCACGAAGGAATGGTTTATGGAAAACCAGTGGATGGAAGTTTTCAGTGAGTATCTTTGCATTTTCGTTAGCCTAGTTTTAACCAACTGTTTTATTTTTTATTCAACAATAGAGGTCCGATTCGTTGACCGGGTGGCAAAGAAGAAAGAGTCTCAGCGAAGGAACTATGAGAAGAAGAAGTTGGCGGTGGAGGGAGATGTTGTCCAGAAGGAAGGAAACGGAAAGAGGAGGTCGTCGCTTTCAAGTGTTGACGAGGCTAACAAGGCGACTCTCGAGGTGGGTGTGAAGGAACAGGGAGGGCGCGTGGTCGAGATGGTGATCGACCTGACAGTTAGTGACGAGGAGGGTGAGGGTGGGGGGGTTGATTTGGCGTGGGTTGGAGGGCAGAAGGTAGAAGAAGAGGGGGCTGATGATGGTGTAGACGGGCAAAGGAGAGCAGCGAAGGTGTTGCTAATGATGAAGAAGAAGTGGGAAGAAGGGGATAGGGAGTGGGTGGGGAGATATTTGAACGCGAATATTAGGGAGAAGATGTGACGATTGCAAATGTGTCATATTTTGGCTTTGAATTATTGAAATGATCCAGCAAGATCGCAAGATAAGTAAGTACATCTACGAAATACGGGAGGAAACGCAATGCAAGTACAGCTAGAAGCAATAAGGAATATAAGAAGAAAAAAAGGATGGCTTTAGTATACGTCTCCAGGTACCATTTCCTTTGGGTGGATGGTTGGGGGTAACACCTGAAAGGCAGATACACTCCTGGTCTTTCCAAACAGTCGATAAGAAAGAGTAAAGGTGGTACTCTCCTCCAGAAACTGGTTCGACAGAACTCCCGCATTGTACCTCCAACGGTACAGATTCCAAAAATTCGAATTTCTCTCATCGTCACGATTGGTGAAAGCTGGCACTTGTGTGATAGATGGATGATTAGAGAATCGAGCACGAACTCGGTCAAACACGGACCAAATTGACTGAATATCACGGGTCACGTCGGTATTACGGGCGGTAATGAGAGGCATGTTGGCCTTGTTCTTTCTCAATTTCTCAGGAATAGGAGAAGTCGGAAGACCAGAATGGAACCAGCCACCGTTCGCAATCAAAGGATCGTCTTGAATGGCAACATAGACTAGGAAAAGCGGGGTTGATCGTCCAAAGCCATTTTTCACTAAATATTCAACATGGCGTCTAAAGTCTTCTGCGTTTTTCGAAATTTGAAATATTCCTCCAGAAAAGAAGGCCGGAAGTTCGTGAAGGCTTGTAGGACCTTGTTCCAAATTTTCAATAACAGAACGGCCCTCCACCGGGTAATTAGCAGTAATGCGATCTTTCCACATTTTGTACAAACTGGCACCTTGAGGCATCACCAACATCGATTTCGGCGAGTAGAGTATTGCAGTACCATCAGCCATTCGCATAACTTGACCATCGTGTGTGATTCGAATGCCGTCCAAGTCGAAGCGAGGCTTTACTGAGATGCCTTGAGCACTTGACGGGATAATCCTCAGCGCAGGTGCAGGTATGATGATGCGCATTGTGTGGTTGTTTGCTCTTCCATTCGGCAACGGCTCGGCCCATCGTATGTACAAAGGGCTAGTGAGGGAAACCGTGCACGGTATATTCTCAACATCCCTCACGTAATTGAGGCTCTTCCAACGATTCAGTCGTCTGCGCCGTTGATTTTCGCTGCTGAAATGATCAGGCCTCAAACCTGCCTTCAATCGATCACTCACTATCTTCAACGCCCTCTCTCTATGAATCGGATCATTCTTCCAATCATCACCCACAACGCCTTCAGGTCTAGGCACACTATTCATAATCCGCTTCCAGTTAGATTCCTCGGTGTTGCAAAGGCCTATCGACACCGCCAGATAAAACTTTCCTTCGTTGACGTTTGATGCCCAAGCCCCAAATCGAGCTTTCGTACAGTTTTGTCCAAGATGCAGACGCATATCAGGAATGTTCATGTTCCACAGTCGCGCAACCTGTTTTCGTATTTTGTCATGTACTCATAATTAGATTCAAAGAATACAAAGGCTCAATAACTTTCACGATACCTGAGACATGCGTTCTTCGGAGCCTGGATGACCGACGGCCTGTTCACAAAGCTGAAGGCGGCTATTCAGCTTATTTCTCCGAAGTTCTCTTGCTTCTTCCGATACCACAAAGGATTCATCGCGAGCGATACCACGGGAAGACTCGTGTGCTTCAACTGCTCTCAAGTACTTGTCTTTTGCTTCTTCGATAGCTTGAATGATAGTGTAGTACTTTCCGGTGAGGTGACGGCGGCACAAGAAATCTTCATTAATCTTTTGTACGATTTCGTCTCGGTTCAGACCCTTTGTGGCCAAATTCAGAGCAACATCCCCAAGAAACACAACCAAAACCAACACTTTGAACATGATATCTCGTAACTCGTCGTGCTGGGGACCGTACTTGTCATAACCAAGATGAATGGCGAAGATAGCGATTGAGAAGAAACCTGGTGGTGGGCCATTTCCAGTTGGGTCTTCTACCCAGTCTGATGGAGCGAACGAGACAATAACAGCCTTTCCAACATGGTTCTTGATGTATTGCTTGAAAGGTAATCCAAGGCTAAAGAAATTTATATGCCGTATGTTAAAGAAAGTGATCACTGCCAAAAATATAAACTTGCTTATGCTGGAAGTTCGCAGCAGCTACGCTGCTGGTTTCACGGCCAAAGGTCACAGAGATGATGGGCTTTACAATCGAAAGCCAAGTTCTTATAAAATTGATGCATTGATACAATGCCTTGTGCCATAGGTAGGGATATAGGTCGGCAAAAGGAAAGCATCTCCTGATCGCCTCAGTTGAAACCTGCGCAGGGAACTGTGTAGGTGATTCCAATGCTATAAGCTTCCTCAGTAGAAGGACTAGCAGATGCCCAGAACGACTTTCGTCGGTTGTCAAGAACTCGCTGGCGCTGTGATATCCTAGAAATTGAAATTGAAATTATAGTCATGGACATATACGAATAGAAAAGACACACACCTTCGAAAGTTATATCCTTCCCAACAAAAGCGACGATATTCATACCCTGAAAAGAATGCGGCTCTGCCTGCTTTCGCAGAGTTTGAAGATACTCTTCCGACATTGGATAACGCTCGGTTCCTTTACATTGATTGACAAATGGCTGAGTGCTCAAATGTGTGAGTTTAAACTTTAACGAATACAAACCAGTTAAATTGGGGTT